TTATCGTTAATATGGGCTAGAGAGGAGGGTATTTCCAAGAGAAGGATGGGGGGGCTTGGGTGGATTCAGGATCTGTGCTAGAAGCACTGAAGGTGAGGAACAGTTGAGCAGTTATGGTCAATGTTTGGGGGTAAGTGGTTCACCCTGTTCACGTATTTGGGGTAATTCGAATCTGTTTTATGTTCTGAAGTGTCCTGAAAGTGGGGGGGTTGAGTGAAATGGGAGAGTAAGGAAAAATTTCTCATGTTGGTCCTCAGCTGAGTGGGCATGAATGGTGTGGGGCTCACACATTACAAGAGTCTGGGGTCTTTGAGAAGGAACGGAGAGGGGGTAACAGGGCTGTGTGGTTTTATTTGGGTGATGGTGGGGGATGGGAGGTAGAGGTTGAGCTGTCTCAGGGGCAAGTTATGGATCTGAGCAGTCTGAGGTAGTCTAGGGTGACCTAAATGAGATGTGTTGGCTGAGAGACAGGGTGTTGCTTATTTGGGAATTGTACATATATATACACAAGGGGGTATCCCTCCAAAAAACAGAATTACACTGGGTGGAGCAGAGCTTTCATAGTATACATTTTTCTTGCTAGGTGAGCATCAAGCACTCTGAGTTAGTGCACCCAGTGGTGTCACCTGGGAAGGTTCTCTCTGGCCACAGTGAATTTTTTTTAAAAGCAGTTTCACCCAAACCTCATTTTTTGTGATGGTCTATTTAAGAGAACACCATGCTATTGTGAAATTTTGTTTCCTGCTTGGGAAAAATGCTGCAGAAACTGTTGTGATGTTGAACACAGCTTACAAGGACAGCACTATGGTGTACAAATGGTTTTATTGTTTAAAAAAAGGTGAAATGTTGATTGATGACAAACCTTGTTCTGGACATCCATCAACTTCCCGAATGGATGAAAATGTTAACTTGTAGTGCATTTGGAGTTTGTTCCACCAGGTCAGATTGTTAATCAAGCTTTCTATTTAGAGGTTCAGAAAAGATTGCATAATGATGTGCGACAAAAAAGGCCTGATTTGTGGCAGACTGGGGACTGTTTTTGCCACTATAACAATGTACCTGCTCCCGCAGCCATCTCAGTGTGCCAGTTTTTGGCAAAAAACATCATGCCTCTCTTGCCCCAAGTACCTTATTTACCTGACCTTGCTCCATGCATCTTCTTTTTGTTTCCTCAAATGAAGAGGGACATGAAAGGACAGTAATTTGACGAGAGTACAGGTGAAGAAAAGAACCAAGGCGGTGGTGTTGTCAGTCATCCAAGCAGATGAGTTTGAAAAATGTTTCCAAGATTGAATCATGGATTTGGCAAATGTATTAAATGTAATGAAGAGTGTTTTGAAGGTGATCAGGTTGTTTTGTAAAAAAAAAAAAAAATTGAAATACATAGCTTTGAAAACAATTCTGGATTTGGGGGGTATCCTCTTATGTAACATACACACACACACACAATACACACACACACCCCTCCTCTGAGAGGTAGAGGTTTTTTGAGTATTTGGAGGCAGTGCTTGGGAGTGAGTGGTTCTGCCCTTTGGGGTGTTTAGAATGCGGGGCTGGGGGTGTGTTTTGCTTTAGGCCAGGGGTTTAAGGCAATGGGACCTCAATTCTAGTAGATTGAGGTTAATTGTAGCTGGGTCTCTTAAAGGAATAGACCTCAGGTGGGAGGGGGTAGGGTTCACTCTTTTCAGATAACCATTATCTCCAAGAGGGGATGGAGGAGAGGTGCCTGTATCTCACCCCTTCCTAGGTGGCCTAGCCGTATAAGAGGGGCAAGAGCCTTTTCAGAGGGCAGGCTGTTGCTCTGGATGGCTTGGAGTGGACTAATAAGTGTGCTGACTAGGAGATGGATTTTGAGGGCAGCCAGTGTTGGAGAGCTCAGTTTAACTGGTGCTTCAGCCAGGATGTGTAGCAGTAGCTTGTACCTTTTGAGCTTAGAGCTTTCAGCTTGTGGGCACTTGTGTACTCACTGCCAGAGGGGCAGAGCGAAGCAATGCTGCAGGGGGTTCACCAAACAGACCCCTCATCAACTGAGCAGGCTCAGCCCAGGGGTACACATATGCCTGGATATTGTCAGAGTACTCAACTTAACTAGTATTTCAGCAGGATGTGCAGCAGTTGCTTGAACTTCTCGTGCTTAGGACTCTTGGCTCCTGGGTACTATGCTAGCTGCCAGGGGGATGTTATACTGCAAGGAGTTAACCAGCCAGGATCCTCATTAGCTGAGGTGGCTCAGACCAGAGGCGCACATATGCCTGGGTGTTTGCCTGCCCAGGGGACCCACCTGCCAAGGTATAAGTCGGGTGCATAGGGAGCCTGGGAGCCAGGTGTGTGGAGTTCACACACGTGGGCAGTTACGTCTCTCAAGTCTGCCTGGTGATCTGGAGTGCCGCAGAGGAGGGACTAGGCTTCCCCCTCTTCCCGTTCCCCTGACTCTCTACCATTCCCACTGCCCCTAGTCTTCAGGGGCACTGGGATCATTTATGTATTGGATTGATCTCCGGATGGAGATCCCCTCTTGCTCCCCTCTTTCTCTTACCTGGTGATTTTCTCCTGGTTCTTGGAGAGGGTCTCACTCTCCATGTGACCTGGAACCTAAAAAACTAAGCTCACTGCAATCAGTCGATGCTGACTCACAGTGACCCCGTAGGACAGAGTAGAGCTGCCCTCCTGAGTTTCAGTAGCCACAAGCCCAGTCAAATTTAAGGTGAACGAGCACAGGTCCTGCAACCCAGTGCCTCCATTAAGCCGTGCCGAGGTCGTAGAATGAGAGGAGTGTCATTGAGGCATTTTAAGAGAATATAGAGGGCAGTGCACCCTCCTGCAACAATTCCAGTTCCTCCCCATGCATAGCACATTGCTCTAAGCCACCGCATCTCAGCGTCAGCTGCAAGTCCAGGGTCTTGTCACCTAGGTGAGGCCTAGGCGAAGCCCTCAGACACAGCCTCTTGTTCTCAAGAAATGTTATCGACTTCCTCTCCCCGCCCTCATATTGCCCCACGAGGACAGGGCTCAGGCCAGCCACAGGTCACGCACCAATTCCACAGAGCAACTGCAAGACGCGCACAAGACACGAGCCCCGTTTTGTTCTTGGAGTTAGTCATTGTGTTATTCACCTGGTTCTGCCCTGAGTCAGCCTTCCTTTTCCATTAGGATGGAATTTACAACCAGGTCTTTTTCTTCGCCTGCTTTTTGCAGGTACAAGGCTGAGGGACCAAAGACCTCCTTCGGTGTATTCTAAGATCGTGGTAATTCTTTCAGACAATTAAAAAAATAATTTTATTGGGGGCTCATACAACTCTTATCACAATCCATACATACATCCATTGTGTCAAGCACATTTGTACATTTGTTGCCCTCATCATTCTCAAAACATTTGCTTTCTACTTGAGCCCTTGGTATCAGCTCATTTTTCCCCTCCCTCACCGCTCCCCCCTCCCCCTTCCCTCATGAACCCTTGATAATTTATATATTATTATTATTTTGTCATATCTTACACTGTCTGCCGTCTCCCTTCACCCACTTTTCTGTTGTCCATCCCCCAGGGAGGAGGTTATATGTAGATCCTTGTAATCAGTTCCCCCTTTCCACCCTCCACCCTCCCAGTATCGCCACTCTCACCACTGGTCCTGAAGGGATCATCTGTCCTGGATCCCCTGTGTTTCCAGTTCCCATCTCAGACAATTTCTTTTTAATGGTAGGTTTTCTGTGAATTACATTGGGGTCCTATGAATTCACTGGGGTTCTGCCGCGTGTCCCTCATCTCTCTGAAATTAGCCTTTCTCAACCCTGTGAACCACTGTTTAGGTGGACAGGAGCTGACTGTTTAGCAGCGAGGGTTTGTGAAGCAAGTTCCTAGGGCTTTTTCTGCCCAGAAGGCCGCGTCTTTCCCTGTTGGATCTCATGCTGCTGTGAGTTCAGTGAGAGGAGCAGGTCCCCTGAGATCCAGGACTACGCTACCTCTGCACCAGTTCAGGACCATTCCTGGTAAAGAGCATCGGCACGACACAGCAGATGCGTTTGCTGAGACAGAGATCCTTGGCCTGCCGCCGTCACCACCAACACAGCTACCTGCCCTGGCAGCTGGCCTTTGTAAAAAGTGAAAACCAAAATTACAGGCTGTAGCCACTCGGGCCACTAAATACCATCATTTCAGACTCAGGCCAACTTCCTCCAGTGGAAAAACAGGGGCCCATGGGAGTGGGAAGATGGGCTGGGAAGCTGCCCAGTGAGCACGGTGCCCAGAGGTGGCCACAGAGCAGCATGCCCCTCCCTTCACTGCAGCGAGCACAACCCCGGCTGGCTGTCCTGGGTTACAGCCAGACGAACAGAAGGGCAGCACTTCCTCTGTGGCTCATCTGGGAAAAGTGGAGAAGCAGCCAAGGGGGAAAGAGCCCCTCACTGCCCACTCCATAGAGTGTCCCACGTGGGCCCTGCTGGAGTTACCATTCATTCACAGGTGGGGGCAGGAATTCTGAGGCTGAGAATGTCACCCAAGTCCAAGCAGCGAGCACAACAGCAGGATTTGTCCTGAGCTGCTCCTGCACCCTCTGGGGACCCACTCCCAGGGACAGAGTTACCCCACCCCACCACTCAGTTTCCTGTGGCATGAGTATGGGCTCAGCGGGTGTGCGCGCCATCCACTTTGCTCGAAAGACAGGCACTGGACAGACCCTGGAACAGGCATCACTTGCAGCTCAGATGCCTGAGTGGTTGGTCCTCTTCAATTTCAATTTTCGGAGAAGAAAACGGGGTTACCAGTGCCTAGCTCCCAGGTGGACAATATAGCTGCCCAGGTGGAGCCTGGGAGCCATCATGGTCAGTATTTAATAAAAGCACATCTTTTTCTCTGTGGGGCAAATTTCATCATGACAAGGCTGAGGGCCCCATGACCCTGTTCAAGTACAGCTTGGCCATGCATGTCCAGGCCATGGTAGGATAGATGTCTGTAAGCTGGACCTCTTAAAAAACAAGCTTGCCCACTGTCCTCTCTCCTCCCCCAGTCAAGTACGACCTCAACAACCCAGCCAAACATGCCAAGTTGGACTTCCTTAACAACCTGGCCACAGGCCTGGTGTTCATCATTGTGGTGGTCAACATCTTCATCACAGCTTTCGGTGTGCAGAAGCCCATGATCGAGGTGGCACCCCGGCAGTAGGGGATTCAGGTGAGCAAAGAGAGGGTGCACGAGACCTGCCTAACCCAGGGGCAGCCTCAGTGCAGCCCACTGTCCACGGGTTCTCGTCCAGGGGCTGCGGGAGGCTCTTAGCTTGATGCTGGCCACTGGACCCAGTCTTTCACATTTGAGGAGAAATGGTTTGGAGTTACAGTGAACAATCAGGAGAGTTCATGCAAAAAATAAGATTTCTGCTTTCCCTTAAGATGTCAGAGTCCTGTTATCAGGCCATTGACCCTAGCAGCAGGCAGTCGGAGCTGTGCCTAGCCCAGCTCACCATACCCTTGCCATTCATGGAGGGGGCTAGGCTGGGCACGGACTCTGTGCCCATCACCTGCTCAGGTAGGCCACTGATACTGCAGGTTTGTAGGGGACAGGAAGAAAAACCAGGCTGGGAGAAAGTCATGCAGCCTGCCAGCCTGCCCAGCTTTATAGGGGTCTGTGTTGGCTTGGCCCAGTCACCCATTCCTATAGAAAGTCACCTCAGTACTGGCACCTCCTTGAGTACAGGAGAGTGGTGAGGCCACAGGCAAATTATAGGTGGGACCCACCAACCCCCTCTAACCCTGGGGAGGTGGGCAGGAAGACATGCTTTCTCCAGAGTTTGTCAGAATGGCTCCTGGCAGGGCCCTTGGGGCCCTGCTTCTGAAAGTGCCCCCGTCACCTGCAGAACCACAGTGGGCTTAGTGCCTGCATCATGGTCACAGGAGCTCTGCCCAACTCTCGGCATCAGGTTTCTAATGCTGGCAGTGACTCAGGAAGACTGCATTCATTCCTCCCATTTTACTGAGAAGCAATTGACGTGCAGACACTATCATGATTGCCCGGTCAGGCAACCCCTTCGAGTTCCAAGTCCAGCCAGCTCTGGTAGGTGGAGGCTGGAGCCTCCTACTGTGGAGGCTGCTCCTGCCCTTGGCACTCTGGGGGGCTCTTGACAGCCAGGCTAAAACTCATGCCTCTCTTCTCCCTTCTTTGCAGGATCTTTTGGTAAATTCGACCCATTGCTTGGTGCCCAGAACTAGGAGCTGCTCGTCTTTGCAACGTCTGCATTCTGTGGTACCTCCTACATTGCCAGGGCTGGAGCACTGGACACCTCAGGAATGAGCTATGCTTCAGGGGCCAGTCAGGGGTCATGACTTATTCCAGAACAGGCCAACACTTGGCTATCTGGTCCTCTGTGTCAGGACATTCCTGGCAGATAGGGAAATGTCCCCTCTCCCTGTACTGATGCCACCAGCTTGCTGGGCCTTACGAGGACATACCTGATTCACCTGGATGATGTAATCGCTTCCACCTGCTTCCTAGTCATGGGACATTGAAAGCCAACCCCCTTCTTGGCCCTGGGGTTGGGTTTGGTGCCTTGGCTGTAGTGGACACCCCAAGGGAGTCTGCTGGCCTAGACTCGGCCCTGTGTTCACCCACCCTCAGGTCTGTCTACCCTCCACCAGCAGTGATGGGGCAGCTCTGAAGCTCACCTGTTTGCAAAGCATAAAGTGACCATTAAGCTCCTACTTCCTCTGGACAACTCCCTGTGCCCGGCCTTCCACTGGCCAGGTCAGGGTGACCCAGTCTGCTGCAGCAGCTTGCAGGTTCCAGGCCTGGGGCTGTGTGAGGTGCTGCCCGGCTCTGCTTGCTGGGACCCCTTGTGCTAGGTGCAGAGGGTCAGGCCCCAGCCCAGGCCTGCTGCAGGCCTCTTGCCTCCACCTCTTCCCAGCCAGGAGACCCTGGGCAGAGGTTCGGGTTGAGAGTGCATTCCAAATGCTGGCATAGACCAGCGGTTCATGCAAGCCTTGCTTCCCCCACCCCCTCCACCTCTTTAAATGTTGGAGTGAGGGAAAAATACAACAAACTCCCTATATGCTTCACCAAGACCCCCGTGGTTCATCTGCGCCACTTATTTGATCACTCATGCCAAGCCGATGATCTTCCAAGGGTGGGCCCAGGACCAGCATGCACCCTTAGCCTGTTGAGCCATTGTTAGAATAGCTTCAAGGCCAGTGCTGGCCTGTCCGATGTAGGAATTCTCAGAAAACCCGCCCACCCAAGACCTCAGGGCAGTGTGGGACCATCCTCCCTCCACAGCTCCCCCTTCATAGAAGCGCCTCACTCACGTATTCATGTGGCCGTCGCTCTGTCCTCATGACAGGGTCAGGGGATTCGCTCCCAGAAGGGATGACTCCAGTCCAGCGCCGGCATTGGCTGGTGACCCGACTGCTGGTGGTGCCTTTGATGACTTTGGGTTAAGAGTTTGCTGTCTCATTCCTGTGCATCTCACTTTGGGGGCCACCGAGGGCAGGGCCAAGGATACATGCACTTTGGGAGAGGAGCAGCCTCTGCTAACATCTCTAAATATTAGCACCCGTGTGCTCAGAATAGGACCATGTGACTCCGGCAATGGTGCCAAGAGGTCTGTCCCTTGAATGCCACAAGCAGCCCCCAGCTTCTAGTGATGACCCCCTTCAGAGGCAGCCAGCTCCGAGCACTCCATTGGCAAATTTTTCCTACTGCCCAGATAACCAGAAGACCCGGTGCTTTCTGCATTGGGCTCAATGGCGTGTCACATTCCTGGGCCCAGTCGAGTCTACTCCGGGATCAGTGTTTGCAATCCCTCCTCTCCCCTGTCCGTGGACTAGAAGGGCTGCCGTGCTTCCAGAGCTGAGGGACCCTCTGGGGCCTTGCTCAGCCCTGTCGTAAGGCCAGTGCTACCTCATCAGTTAGTGGTGACATCTCAAGGCCATGGAGGAAGGAGAAAGTGGGGATGTGCGGCAGGGTGACCACTCAAGGCCACGTGACTCATTTGTGCCAACAGCTCATGCCATCCACTCTGAGCAGAGTTTGTAAGGGCAAAGCTGGGTATCACAGGCTGGGAGCCCCACCATGTCCTCACCTCACCCACTCTGAAGACCCCAGCTTAACTCCTGAGGCCCCATCCCATGTTCTTCCACCCCCTGCTCTCTTCTTTTTCTCTGGGACCCCATCCTCCCCTTCCCATTCCATTAACCTTCCTTCCTCAGCGTCCAGTGGAGTAGGGGCATTCCTGTGGCCACTGATGGCCTGTCCCATCTCCCCTCGGGACTTACCTTGGTGATCCTTCCGTGGTTCCTGACTTCGCCTGGCATCGTATGCCCTCCAGCCCCTCTTCCTCCTCCATGCTGCCTTCCAGGGACCTGGGCTACCAAGCTCCACTTTCTCCTAATCTGAGACAGAGGATCAAAAAGTTCCATCCTTAAAGTGGTTCATTACAACTTCAGACTTGCATGTAGGCCTAGTTCAGTCTCTTAGGGGGGAACATCTTCTAAGTAATCAATAAACAAATACTCATGGCTGCACTGATCTGATCATGTTTTGGAAGCACGTACTCTAGCAAGGAAAAAGCAAGGGCAATGAGACTGAGGCGTGGTGTCTATAGAGCGGTGCCCCATTCTCCCTCTCTGGGAGGATTTGGGTGCTCCAGCAGAGTGGGATTAGAGATTACCACCTGTGTGGAGTGGTCGTCAGGCGCACTGGGTTGAGAAAGCAAGATGTAGAAATGTGCTGGTGTGAGCATGTGTGCACATGAAGTGAGAAGGCAGCGTGGGCATTGGATGGGTAAGCGCTGTGATAGGAGGGTTTTTTAGGTGGGATAGGAAAGGGCACCTGGAAGCAGGCATGTGCAGATGCCCCAAGAGCACCCCAAGAATGCAGCTGTGGGTGGGAGGGCTTGGTTGCAGACTCCACCCCTCAAGCTGTGTTGGGAGCATTTACTCCCTTAGGGATCTAATGGGCCTCAGTGCTTTGATGAGAGGGCCTTCCCCCAGCACCCCTCGGTGACCTGTCCCTCCTCTCTCCAGTCACCCACCCTCAGTGGAACAGCTTCCTGGTCTCACTGCACTCCAAATGGCCTTCGCCCCCTAACACCCTCTTGAGTTGCCTGCAGGAAGCTCTCCTGGTGTGTTTTGGCACCCTCCCAGAGTCTGTGTCCCACACAAGCCAGGGAGCTCAAGGCAGTTCCTAGCGCTGCCGAGGTTACCAGCACCCAGGTCCTAGTTGTATGTGGCCTGGGGGGCAGCCTCTGGGACTAGCAGTGAACTAGCAGACATTCACGGGGCAGCCCCAGCTGTGCACTTGTTTTCATGAGGCAGCACCAGGTCAAGGGTGTTGACCAACACACGGCTTGGTTCCTCTTTTGGCCAAGACAGTGAGTTCACCCAGATAGGAGGCTGGAGGAACTGATAATGCTCAGTTCCCTAAGCCACAAGGCGGAGGAATAATCCATGCACGAGCTCTCGGGGTTCTCAGGTGCCTCTGGCTGCGTGGGTGGTAGGGTGATGATGGAGTCTGGAAAGGTGATGAGATATTGGGGCTTGGAGCAGGACTGGGTTAGGTGGGAGAAGAGTCCAATCTAGGGGATGTTTATTTAGAACCTGGTATGACAGTGTTTGCTGCTGGAGTAGATGGGGCCTTAGTTGATATTTCCCCTCCAATATTCCCCAACCCACAGTCCATGATAGAACACCTGGGCACCAGAAGCCAATATAAACAAGAGAGCCTGCAGGCTCCGAGCCCCAGCGCAGAGACGAACACCCCTGGCTCCTAGCTCTCTTGCATTCCTCTTAATGCTTTCCCCACCTCTCCCTTTTTCCTCCTCCCCCTTGCTCTCCCTCATTTTTCATCCTTTTTTTTACCCAGGGGCCTTTTGTCTTCCCTCCATCTCATCCCTTTTCTCCTCCCCTGGGCTCCTTTCAAGCCTGGCCCTGGCTGATGCCCTTCCTGCTGGCATGAAGTTCCATGTGGCTTGAGGAGGGGCAGGGCAGTCCGTGGCTGTGGGTCGCTGGGGGGACCCTGTTCCCAGGGCCCCCACTCATGTATGAGGGAGCTTTAAAAGGTTCATAGAAAGATTCCATTATCTTTAAGTTCCATTGTAAAGGGCCGCAGCACTGGCCGGCCAAGTCTGTGACCCAATGGAAACTGAAAGTGTGACCCCGGTTTTCAGTAGTGTCAGCACCCATGCCCCCCCAAAGTCAAGTCCTGCGGAGTCAACATGTTTGTTTCCTCTCCCAGGAGGGGAACCTTGAGTTACGCAAGATGCAGCTGTCTCTCTAGGCCTGGAGGTCAAGGCCTATTCTCCCAGCTCTGTGCTCCGGCCCCTCCCTCTGGGCCTCTGAGCCACAGGCAGTCAAAGCAGGACATACTTCTTCATTAGCGGGGAGCTCCTCACCTCCCAGCAGTCCTGCCAGGCCGTGCAGCTCTGGAGATAGGAAGGTGGGAGCCCAGGCCCTGCTGCAGCCAGGGGCAGGGAGGGGAGGGAACAATATGTCCTTACTGGAGTGCCAAAGAAGGTATCTTGGAGGAGGTAGCATTTCCCCAAGACCTGAAGGATGAACAGGGGAGGTCAGTTGGTAAGGAATATTCTAAGTCGTGGGTGTGGAGGAACATTGCACAAATGACTCCGGCCAGGTGACAGGGATGCGAGATAGTGAGGACCCTGAGCCCCAGGCTTCATCCTGAGGACGGGACAAGAACAAATGAGACCTCTGGAAAGGGAGATGTGGTCTGTGGTGCCTTTAACAACAAACACCCTTAGGGATCTAAGTCAGCCCAGATTTCCTGACATCGACTGATCCAAATAGGTCGGGAATGAGCTGAGGCCTAGATCCATCCCCACCCGGCTCTTATCCACAGTCTGAGCTACACAGGCTCCCAGCCTAGAGGGAAGGCCTTTGGGGGAAGGCCAGCTGGGAGGTGGGCAGATCAGAGACCCAGGCTGGCTGAGTAGCAGAGGCTTTGCTCATGAGTGGGGATCTGGCCACCCTTAGCTCAGGTATGGTCAAGGATGGGGTCACATGTGGCTGAGGGCAGGGAGGGGCCTCGTGACAACTTGAGGCTAGAGATCGGCAGCTCCCAGTCTTCAAGGGCAAGACCTCAGTGAGTTGGGGACAAAGAGGGTAGGTGGATTGCAGAGAAAGCCCACCTGCCTCAGACTGGGAACAGAGTGTTCCAGCCCCACAGCCCCTGAGATAAAGCCTGCAGGTTGGAAGTCACTGCCCAGTGGCATCTGCAGAAGGGGCATCCTCTCAGGCAAGGTCTGCAGGCCCTCGTGGGCGGGTTCCGGGAAGGTGCCCTCTTCATTCCTGCTTGTCTCCACTGCCATATATTTTCCTCTGGCATTAGGCCTCGGGGCCAGCCTTGAGGACCTTCCATCAGCCAGTTTCTCTGCTTGCTTTCCGACAGGAAACTTCAGCTGATGTAGAGCTAGAGTTGAACACCCCAGAACTCCTCTTACCCTCCAGAGCAGATCCCTATCTTGCTGGCACCTCCTATGTTGGCCCTTCACCCAGGTATTTCGGTCAGGGAGCAGATCATGAACAGAAGCCACACCCGGGGGGCGGGGGGGAGGAGGAAAGCACCCTGGAGCTGGCAGCGTGCGTAATGAATGGGTGAAGAGCTACAGAGAAGGGCTCTGGACAGTGTCCAGATATCTAGGCTGTACCCAAGGGCCCTGGCCTAGATAGCTCCTGAGGTAGAAACGACAAAGCAGACTTTGGGACTCTGGCTGCTGCAGCGTTGGGTTGCCCTGCCGGTCTGCCTGCTTCCGCCACACCTCAACTGTCTTATCAAGCACAGGTACCTGTGATTAGCAGCGCACAACAGACAGCAGAACTCAGTTGCCAGGTAGCCTGGAGATGCAGTGCTCAGCTCTCCGGCTCTCCTCTCCTCTCCACCACTTAGGAGGGAGGTCACAGGGTCACCGTATCCTTCTCCCTGGGACTCAGAGTCAGATACAGAGCTCATAATGTGGTTGGCTCATTATTCCAGTAGAGGGAGGGAGAGACGGATGGTGTGTGTGTGTGTGTGTGTGTGTGTGTGTGTGTGTGTGTGTGTGTGTTTTCGGGGGAAGGGTGGTCAGGGGAGGTCAGCTGAGTGCAGGTATTAAAGAAAGTCCTGAGAACAGTTCCTGGCTAGGCTTGAGGGGTTCAGATCCAGGCAAGGGCCCTGCATGCAGCTGGCTCACAAGCCTGCTTCACTGTGTCAATCCACAGGCTACACCAACACACAGGCACGAGTATGGGACCCCTGGCGCCCTCAATCACAATTCTCCATAGGCACCACTGCTGTCAGCATCACGAGTTGGGCTGATCAGTAACCTGGTTGTGCAGGTCTGAACCCTCCACTCCTCCTGTCCACCCCAGCCCCAGGTCTTGTTTCCCCTGTTCCCATGGGAGCCCACATCTCCCACAGATGCAGGAGCGATGATGAGCTGACGGGCAAGACTGACCTCACCACTCCAGGCTGCATCAGCCACGCTGTCACCATTCCCAGGGGCAGGGCTTGCTGGCCCTTATGTTCAAGTCCCTCAGGAAACCTCAGCCTTGGAAAGCGCACACTCAGGGTGATTCTACAGACTGACAAGTATTTTTGTTTACCACGCCCACTGCCACCTCTGCCAAAAGGCCCACGTGGGTAGAGCTCATGGGGAAGGGGTCAGTAAGGAGGGTCAACGAGGTGGGGGGAGCATCAGAAGCCTAGGTCAGGATGCCAGTGGGGTGAGAGTGGGGAGTAAGGATTGGTGGTAGCTGGGGGAATCAGTTGGGAGTCCCTGCTCATAGCTGCCATGTGGTCTGGGGCTCCCAGCCTTCGCGTCCTTGTCTGTAAAGTGAGTCTATCCAGGGTGGTAGCGAGCCAGCATCAGGCCCGTCTCATGGCTGACAGTTGAGGCTGGAGGGCTGTTGCCCCGCACGTGGAGGTTACACGAGGGGCTGCTATGGTCACAGCTCTATTGCCTAGTGCCCAGCCTCTCCACAGGGAGGGGCGGGGCTCAGGTGCAACCCACTCTTCACTTTGAAGGTTCAGCCTCACGTCCACAAGAATATGTCCATAGTGGAATCGTGGGGCTCCAGGCTGGCAGGTCATTCCAAATGGTCATTCCACTTCAAGGGAGAAGGCACCACTTTGCCTGTTTGTCTTGCTCAGGGCCGGGTTCCTTCCTGTTAGCACTAGAGGGCTGACAGGAACCAGGCCCTGAGGGAGACAAATAGGCAAAATGGTCAAACTCTAGGCAGCAAGGCAGAGTATGAAGAACCTGTGCGGAAGGAGCATACATCACATCACACTTGTCAGCTCTGCACCTTCTCGTAGGTCCCTTGTGCTGTTTTATCCCCCAAGTTTCCCCTTTGGTCAGAATCCATGTACACTGGTTATATTTTATAATCTCTGCCAGCGAGCTGGTCTGCTCTTTTCAGGGAGTGTGAACTCTTGGGGTGAGGCTGTACTGTGGGTACCCATGATGCTCCCAGAAACATAGGCAAGGGTTTTATGTTCATGTTCAGCCCCAAGGCGCTGGGACTTAAGAGTTAATATACATCCGAGTGCCAAGCTCCAGATAGCATCAGCATCCTGGCAACAGAGCCTTATGATTGGCTATTGCCGGAGGGTGGGCGGACTATGAGCCACCAAGGATCCTTGTTCTGTGTGGGCTTCCTTTCCAGGGGAGGAAGTAGGAAGGGGAGGAGCCAAGGACTCAGTGTTCTACTGTGGAAGAAATGACAACGATGATGTCACCAGGGAAGGGGGATCTGGAAAGGGAACTGGTGGAGACGGGTTTTCCCAGGGACATGCCAAGAAGGGCAAGGGTTGGGGAGAAGAGGGGCAGTAGATAGAGGTGGCTGGATTCTAGACCAGCTTAGAGCCCATCCTCTGCCCCTGGCTGGCTGCGGGCCCTTAGACAGTGACTTCCTTCTCCTCAGTTCCCACTGTGGGCCCAAAGCGCTGGCCTGGCATGCACGAGGCCTCCTTGGAGGCTGAGACCTCATGGCTCGTATCCCACACACCCATCACGGCAATGTCCTCTTGGGTTCACAGAGAGCAATGGGTGGCTGGTATGGAGGTAGGCTTGTGTTCAAACCTAGAATACCCACAGGCCAGAGGGTGCTTGCTGGTCATGGGGCTCAGTGATGGCAGGGTGGGCAGAGGTGTGTGGTGAATGAGAGCCCACCGCAGGATCGTGGGGCACACTGGCTGAGGAAGAGCTGGTACCCAAGCATGGAGCGGTGTGAGGAGGGGCAGTGGCTAGAGCGGACTATGGACTTGATGTCCTGGGAGGGGAGTAGTGGGGACGAGCCCAGGCTCCCCCTTAGAGGGTAGGAGAGTAAGGCCAAAGGGTAGCCAGAGTCAGAGTCACTGGGACGATCTCTGGAGGGGAAGAACAAGGCCACTTCACAGAGGAGTCTCAGACATTTAATAGCATACAGTTCCTTCATAAGACAAGGTCGAAGTGAGTCACAGAAACGATCGTTAGAGCCTTTAGAAAAGAAACACTCTCATCCGCTCGGTGGGTGGACAGGTAGGCTGCAGACTGGCAGAGGACGGTCTCAGCAGGCTGGGCAGCTCCAGCAGGCCAGGTAGTTGGTTGGTGGGCACCTCTGGGTTGAGCAGTGGGAGGGGTCCGGTGTTCGAGGCTGCGTCAGGGACTTCACAAGTCACCTGCCAGGAAGGTCAGCAGATAGCGGCTGACGTGCCTCTCGATGATGACAGGAGAGAAGCCAAGGACACGCCGGGACTTGGGCAGGACTTTGAGGTCTGGAAGCATGGTAGGCGCAGAGGAGGCAATAAGAGAATGGTGTGAGGCCTGCAGATCATTACCTTTCACTGAAGACACCCTGCCCCTTGCCTGTGCCCAAGAAGGGCTTCAGCCCCTGGGAGCTTCCTGCAGGTCCCCAGTGGTACTGCCTACAGTTTTTGGTGAAACAAGAAACAAGCATGACTCTCAAACCTATCTGAGAATTTCTGCAATTAGCCACCTGCAAGGGACTGCGAAGGACCACACCTGCTAGCTCCCAGGACGTATGCACATGTTCCTTCTAGGGTCAGTGGGTGCAAACTCTTCTCTGTAAACTAAGGAGTGGTGCAAATCCAGCCCAATCTGACCATAAGGAAATGGGTCTCCCCCTGGGATGTGGGCGGCTATACTGGCAGCAGGCCTGTCTGGTGAGGGTTTCAGAGTTGCCAGGCCTGCGTCCTCAAGGGCACAATATTCTCAGGTGTGTGCTGGGCTTAGGGCCCATACACAGAGCCAGTGTGGGAAGGCCTGGGGTCCAGGGCCCCCTCACCAGTCTCCTTGGCTGGGCAACAGGCAAAGTACTGGGGCATGCTGATCTGTCAAGAGGACCTATTAGAGGGATCTATTAGAGGGATTCTCTGGCAGGACTCACCTGGAGGGCAGCAGTACATGAACAGGGCCAGTCCTGCAGCCACACTAAGGCAGACCAGGAAGCCCAGGGGTCCTGCAGAACAACAGGCATGCATGAGTGGAGGTCCTGAGGCTGCGTATGGGCTGCACTGGCAGGTGTTCTCTGGGCTAGGAAGCAGGATGTCTGGGGGTAAACAGAGCCCAGACCAGGCAGCAGGGGAGGACAGCCAGGGCAGGGAGGCCAAGCCTGAGAAAATGCCTGGAGGCTTGTCAGCAAGCACTTTAGAAGGAGTCTGTTCATCAACAGAAAGCTAGGATCAGGGCTGGAAAGGAACTGGTGCTGGGGTCAGGTACTGCGAGAGAGAGGGAGAGAGAGAGTGGGAGAGAGAAGGAGGCAGAGAGATGGTGGGAGGGAGGTGTTACCCCTGTCACTCAGCTCCCATCTCTCCGTGCCTGTGTCTAGATCTGTGCCATCTGAGTTTTCTAGGAACAAAATCACAGAGCAGGTTAGTTGTGGGGTGAGCCAGGGGGGATGGTGGGCCCCACACCCTCAGCCGTTGCCCAAAGGGAACATCCAAAGGCCTGGGACAGGCATGTGAAGTTGGAACACTGCTGGGTCCAGGGAAACAAGAACACACAGCACCAAGCTATGCCTCCACGGTGGGTGCGCATCAGGCACGCAGGCGGCTGGGTGGCCCCTGTCCTGGACCCATGCTCCGGTTGTCTCTTGGTGGAAGACCAGGTGCTTGGTCTAGGTGCACTTTCTCCTCTGCCAAAACCTGTGACTGGGAAGGCCCTAAGAGGGACCATTATACACTGACCACAATGCAGCACAACCAGCACATGCCAGACGTCCGCCTGGTGTTAGCATCACAGCTCCCTTCATAGCCTATACTTGGAGGTGTGGGGGACAGCCTTTGGGCAAAGGTGCTTCCTTCCCACGCGTCTATTTAGGAAAGGGAGGGGAGTTAGTAAGTGGCAGGATGGTGAGCAACAAGCTGGACCAACTCCAGGGCACGGGAACCAGGAAAGGTGCTTCCTTTAAGCAGAGGTGTTTCGCGCCTTGATGGTGAAGGAGCTTGTCCCCACGGTCTGAAACTCAGGGCAAACTCCGTTGCCTTGAAGCGACACACTGCACCACAACATAGCCCCACCTTAGGAGGGCGCACTTCTTGCCTGGGTTTGCACAGGAAGACAGGATTCTTGGTGTGTTACCCGGTCGAGCTACCCTTAGTCTGTGTGCCCTATGAGAGCTGCAGGACCCCAGAGCCCCCCAACCAGGAGCGCAGAGCAGGGGCCTTGGGACGTGCCTGGGGAACAGCTTTGGTAGCTAGGCACCAGCATGGTGGTGGCCCCTCCAGCAAGCAGCAGCCGGACACCAACAGCACACACACCCGTTGACTGGCCTTTCCCATCTGAGGATTTGTTCTACAGACGGTGGCATCTACCGGGGGATACAGGAAGAATGTGTGTGTGGAGACCATGCCTCCCGGGAACTATCAGAGGCTCTAACACTAAAAGGAGTCCTTGGCAGCAGTGGGGGTCAGGCTGGCGCTGCGGACGGGCCACCAAGCAATGATGTCATCGGGCTGGTGTCAGCTGTCACCCAGTGCAGTAACTCCTCATAGCCAACCTCCCCTCCCCATCCCTTCTTTAGTGCTGATGCCTGCCACTGGACAGAGAGGAGAGGCTTTCCACCTTGGCCGAGGGGAAAGGGAGGGAGCTGCACAGAGCTAGGCCCCGAGGGTGTGCTCAGCCCTGAATGCGGAGAGAAGGGAGGTATGAGGATTCACCAGCAAGCCCTGTCCACAGGAGGATGACGTCGTAAGTTCCTGCACTGGGTGACACCAAGCTCAGTGACCCCACTGCCTACAGACATGTTCACACGTGGGGGGCATGTCAGTGGAAGAAGCCCAGTGCCCGCCTTCCCCAGGGACAAGTTAAAGAGAGAGTTGGACATCCCCACAGAGTGCTAGGCAGCTGTGGAAAAGAGCGAGATTGCTCTCAGGACCTGATCCGGATGGGGAGATGGGGAGCAGTTCTAGTCGATTAGAGGAAAGGCCCAAACTCTGCATAAACGATGCTACCCTTTGTGTAAAAAGTAGTACGAGAGAGACAGCTAAAGACGTGCATTGAGGCAACACTCTTTCGAGGAGGACATGTGAGACACTGTCAACAGCAGTGGTCTCTGAGGAAGAGTCGGAGCGGGGAGGCTCGGAGTCTGACGTGCCGTGCACACACAGGACCCCTCTTCCTTTCTGCTGCCAGGGCTGGAAGAGGTAGCCCAGGGATGTTGGGGACACCATGCTGAGCAGGCGTCCTGAGTGCAGGGACTTACGTAGGGTGTACCGGCTAGGCAGGCAGCTGTGCAGGGGCTGGGCATGGATGTACAGGGCACGGTAGAATTCCTGGCAGTCCCGCTCACTGCTCCGTTGCAGGTGGCTCAGGAGGTTGCACAGCCGTATACGTAGAGCTGCCTTGGGGTTCCGGAACTGGAGGGAGAGGGTCAAGCCAATGGGGGCCAGTAGCGGGCAGGGCTGAGGGGAACTGGGGATGGTCACCCACACTCTCAATGTCTGTCCCCAGCCTCAGCCTCCTCCTGGATGGAGACGCATCACCTCCAGGACACCCCAACAATCCCAGCCATTTACTCAGCGCCCACAGTGCCTGAGCTCAGTGGCATGGCTTTAGGATCATGGCTACCCACCCTCTGCCCAAATACCCTGGGGGTAGAAACCACTGCCCACTCCATGATCAGGAAACTGAAGCTTGGGGAGGCCATCAGGAGATCACTGGGCAGGGGCACCATCTCAAGTGCTCTGCTGTACTTGGCAAGCAGCATCCCTCTAACCCAGGTGGTTTCCGTTACACAGGAGTCTGATTTAAGTGCTCAAGAATAAATCAAAATTGAAGCGAAAAGGAGCCTTTGGGTGTTTTTGTGGAACCGGTGCTTGGCCCTGACCCTGACAACTCTGCCACCTGGTGGCATCACCCAGTTCTGCACTGCTGCCTGCTAGCTGGTATGAGTCACAACATGCAGGAAGGACCAGGGCCGTGTGTGCCAGGAGCCCCTGCTTGCCACGAGTTACCTGTGAGCAAAGGGACGTGTACTGGGAAGGGAGTACCTAGGGGGAGGTTCACTTTTCAAATATTTTTACAATGAACATATATTATAATTTCTATTATAATACTCAGATATGAATATGCACCTATTTAAAAAATTATTGTACTACTTTCATAAGTTCAGGAAGTATCTTCCAACCAGAATGCTAAGTCCCAGGCCTCAGAGAGGCCGGCATGTGGTGTCCTTACCCCGCTTCCAATGAGAAACTGGAGGCTTGAGAGATGAAGGGAGTCACTCCGGCCACCCAGCTAAGAAGTAGACCTGGACCCCAAGGCCAAGCTGGCCTCCAGCCCTTTCCATGGACCAGAAAGTGGCTCCCTTCAGCCCATCAGCTGGCCTGCTTGGTATGACATTTGAGCTGGCAGGGAGGGGAGAGGGGGGGGCAGTGCTCACCACCTTCCCCACCAGGGTCTCTGAAACCTAAGGCCTATCATGGCCATGCGCCCCTAGAGCAGTGGTTCTCAACCTGTGGGTCGCGACCCCTTTGGGGATCGAACGACCCTTTCACAGGGATTGCCTGATTCATAACAGTAGCAAAATTAGTTATGAAGTAGGAACAAAAATAATTTTGTGGTTGGGGGCGGTCACCACAACATGAGGAACTGTATTAAAGGTTGCGGCACTAGGAAGGTTGAGAACCACTGCCCTAGAGAGAAAATGGGCCCTACGCGGCTCTGCATTTGAAGGATCACTCTCCTTGGCCCAGGATGGTATAACTGCCACAACAGTGGGTGCCCACGGGCACCTTCCCTGCATACAGAGAAGGTGGCAGTGTGGTTCTGTGGTCTGGAGCCCATCCCCACTTCGACACACCCTAGATAGGGACCCAAGGGCAGCAAACAACCCAGCTCCCAGGGCCTAAGGGCCTCTTGCCCCATGCACTGGTGATAAGCCAACTAGCATTCACGTCAGGGGGCATATGGTAGGAGATGGGACAGTGGCTCTCAGCAAGTGTACATCAGAGTCTCAGGCTGCCTAAGCATCACAACCGCCCTACAAGCACAGAGTCGTCACCAGCCCTTTTCACGGATGAGCAAAGAGGGCCCACGTGGGACCACCAGCAACTTCCACCTTGGAGCCTCTGCTGGAGCCCCATAGCAAAGGGCTGGAACCTTACAGCCTGAGCGAGTAAAACAAGGTATTAACAAGGACAAAAGCAACCATTTGGACCTCCCATTTTGAACTTGTGGAAGATGCCAAGGGTATAACTGCACAAGGGATAGCAGGGGTGAGGGGGCAGGGGTGGCATGTTTGGGTCCCTTTGGCCCTTCCTGGCACCAGCCTGGCTCCAAGGTCTCCCTTTACCCACCTCTCCATGTGGGGCAGTCCCAGGCCACTGGGTGGCCATGAGCGTGCAGAGATCTCACTCCCAGTGCTTTCCAATGCTGGATTTGAGGACACCCTCCCATAGGGTCCCCTTCCACCCCAGCCCTGGGCACAACCCCACAGGGAGCAGACATGTGGCCTGTGTCTATCGACTGTGAACTTGGAGACACTGCTGAGGGCTATTTAGCAGTCCTGCTTACTATTCTAATGATCTATGAACAGGTATCATCCCTCCTACTGGCAGATGGGGAAATTGAGGTCCGGAGCCTCAGTGCCTATCCCATGTTGTCATGTATCCTCGCCTGCAACACTCAAGGCGACTTGGGAAGGGCCAGCAGTCCCACTGACAGATAAAGGATTGTGGATGAGGCTGGCTCTTCAGGCCTAAGGGCAACCAGGAGCCCTGCTTCTCTTGAGGCCCGAGAAGGCAAGAAAGGAAGTCAAACGCAGCCCAGGCCAGCCCACCCCCAACTTCGCAGCACCTTTTCAGCCTCTTTGTTGGTGAGAATCTGTGGGTAGTAGCGGTTCAGCTGCAGGATGATCTTGTCCACCTGCTGCTCACTTAGGCGCCCATGGCCCGTCAAGAAAGGTGTGTCCTGGACCAGGCGGTCACAGTAGGTCTGATCTGAAACCCAGGGGCGGCAAACATGAGGTGTGAGTAGGCGGCATGGCATGAGATAGAGTGCTACCGCCCTGCAATCACAAAAATGCCAGGTCTGTTGCCAATAGTGAAGCCCGCACACCATGGACCGCCTGCTCCCCAAGAGAGTGTAAGAGTATACTACCATGGCTTTAGGTCCCAGCCTGTGGAGCACCCTACACATTGGATATAAGCCCCATCTTCCAACCCCTCACCAAAGCTGGAGGGTGAACGGATGCAAGGAACCAGACAGGCCTGCTGCAGGGCAGGTGGAGCCAGGCAGCAGGCCAGGAAGTGCTTCACCCTTAGTCCCGCAATTCTATTCTGGAAGGTTGATCAGAAGAAATAAACTCCGAGAAGCCAGATACCCCTTTTTCTGAGGAGTCCCGGAAATGCCATTTGGAAATAGCAGTTGTCAGCATAGGGAGGAGAGAGGGTGGCAACAAGTGCTTAAGTCACCCTCGCTTCCACCAGGCAGGATGACGTATGTCATCTATATATATCACAGATGTGATATATAAACCTTCCTCCAATTCTGATGCTGCCTTCTTTTGCATATAATCCAGCCTCTCTGAGTATATGCTCAGCATATAAACTGAATAAATATGGTGAGAGAATGCAACCGTATGCACACCTTTCCGGATTTTAAACCATGCAGTATTCTCAATTTGTACAACAGCCTCCTGATCGATGTACAGGTTCCTCCTGAACAGGATGTCATGTTCTGTGACTCCCACTCTTCTCAAAGCTATCCAAAGTTTGCGATGGTCCACACAGTTGAGTGCCTTTGTACATTCACTAAAACACAAGTAAACTTCTTTCTGGCATTTTCTGCTTTGAGCAGCCAAGATCCATCTGACACCAACAATTATATCTCTTGTTCCACGTCCTCTGCTGAATCTGGCCCGAACCTCTGGCAAAATACTGCTGCAACTGTTGTTGGATGATCTACCTCTCTGCTGGGTTCAGTAACTCCTTGCAACGGCCATACAGAACTCACAGACCATACTCACAGCCATGTGATTTATTAGGAAGATAACAATACAACTTAAGATAAGGATCAACCTGCAAGTAACAAGAACAATTCAGGAGATAAGATGCAATCTGTCAATCATGATAGCTTACAACCAAAACAGCGTCTCAGCTGCTCTCAGCCATGCGCACAAGCAGGCCACCCTTCTTGACTATGCATGCCTGGGTGCCTTTGGATAGCACCATGCTGCCTAGGGACCCTGCGGAGGCTTCTCTCTGACGTTGGGCCTCACTGGCTTTGTCTCACCACTGAGCAGACTCTGCACAGGCTCTTCCACGCCTCTGCTGCTAAGCCCTTTTAGGCCTACGGGCTACAGTACTCTGCAAAGGCAGACCAGTTTGTCTCTTCCACTACTGCTCGCTCGACTCATGTGCCCATTTGCAAGGTCTGGGATTGTGGCTCCTTCCCTTTTACAAGGTGTCCAGCATCACTGGCTTCCTCTTGCTCAGAGATGCCCCAGCTCTGCTCCATGGGCCAACTCTCCCACCACCATTGTATGCCAGCCTCACGTGTGCTATTGCTTGCATGGCTGCACAGTTTCTCTGCTATACTTGGCGAGGTCCCATGCCATCTTCAGTCTTATAGCTCTTGGCTTATCTTGCAAGTCTTTTTGGAGACTCCTTCTATGTTTCTGACTTACATCTCTTCTCTAAAATTCTCTTTGGGATTGTCTGTTTATTTAAACAATCTTCTTGTCAATTCCAGGGCCTGGTCTTCCTAGCACCACCATGAATCAACCAATTCCTCCAGCAGACCACAAATCAGTCAATCTTACTGAGTGGATTTTAAAACCTCGAGCTGGATAGCAAATTCACCCAATCCCTACAAGATATGCAAACTAAACCAAGCATGGGGCAGGTTGAAGCCCAATCAATCAGTTTGGGCAGTGCTATAAGCCCAAGACCCAAAAGAGAAACCCATCCACGGCACCACACCCTTCCAACATCTCTGTAACATAGTACCACCACTACTCCCATTTCACAGACAAGAAACTGAGGTACAACATGAAAAGTAAGGACTGGCCCCCGATTCCAGCCAGCCAGGAGGTGGAGATCCCAGGTTGAGATAGATTCATGCACAGCAGAATCAAGGGGACTCCAATCAAGGTCTTCAAAGCTATGCAGCTGGCTATTCCATGTCTGTCTCCCGACTAATCCACGATGGTGGGGACCTGCAGCTGCCCTGCCCCATGCTGCCTCCGCAGTGTGTGCACTGCACTGTGCGCAAAAGACTGGGCACACAGCAGACACTCACTAAAATTTTGGGGGAATGAATCAGTGTCAGAGGTCAATGGAAAGTAGGTGTTAATCTTCAGCAACCTTTCCCCTAGCCCCGAGGCCTTGGCGGGACGGGCCTTCTGATGCTAATATTCGTGAGTCACTGGCCTGAGTCACCTGTGTCCCTGGCATAGATGCGGCTACTGGTGTTTACTATGTGTTGACGTTCATGAGTTGTACACACATAAGCTATACACACAGGCTACTGAAGAAGCACCAAAAAGGGCACAATAAAAACAAATCTCCAAAGGTCCAGGACTTGATAAAGAAGTCCTGAAATGCGTTTCACAGGATTAATGAAGACAGTATAGCTTTAGCCCCAAACCTCGTGTCTTTGTTAAACCTCCCCATCAGGGTTCCAAAGCCCATCCCTCTTCTTTTTTTTTTTTCCCATCCCTCTTCTTACACCCAATCCCTGAGCATTCTGGGGCACTGGCCCCACCTACTTTCACTTGGCTTGAAGCAGCCTGACCTCATGAGTGTGCTCCTGCACCCTGCTCCCCACCCTTACCCAACTTCCTGCCCTCGGGCTCAGATGAGAAGAACTTGGTTTTTTTCCATCTGACTAACTCTTGCATAGCTCAGTGGACCAATTCCCGAGTTTCCCTGGCCTTGGTGCCACTGAAGCCCAGATCTGTCCTCCAAAGGCTCTTCCAACAGGTCCTTCTGTCTCAACAACAGATGTGCCTCCAGTGTTGTAAGTGAGCTAAGATCCTGAACTCTGAGCCATGTCTGGAGGAAAGTGGATGACACCCAGCCCTGGAGTGGGTCACCTCTGATATTAGCAGAGGTCCTGAGGACCACACATCTTGAGTGAATAGGCCTCAAATAACTGTGGACTGGGGTCATGTCCAAGGCAGACATAGATGCTGGGGTCAGGGTCCCTGTCCTGACTCAGACATTGCGCGGCTAAAGACCTTGGGGTATGCCCAATATAATCCTTGCTTCCTCACTGTACAGAGACACTATTTGGCATATCCTCCTATTATGTGGATGGGAAGTACCCAGCACAGGGAATTGCTCAGAATCAGCAGCCATGAATAAAGTTTAGAGGAGTGGTGCTAAGGGCAGGATGCAGTTGGGGTCTCCTCCCATCAAGGCTGCTGTTGCTGGGTGTCACTGAATGAGTTCCGACCCACAGTGATTCTGTACAACAGAATGAAACAATGCCTGGTCCTATGGCCATCCTCCCAATGGTTACATTGGTGCCCATTGTCAATCCATTCTGTTATGGGTCTTCCTCTTTTTCCCTGCTCCTCTGCCAAGCATGATTTCCTTTTCCAAGGACTGGTCTCTCCTGATAACATATCCAAAGTATGCGGCTTCTCCCAGACCTATAGAGCCTGTCACTGGGGCCACTAGGGAGGTGGACAAATGAATCTCCAGATCCAGTGAGCCCTGGAGAATGGCTGGACTGGAGAGACCAATCCTGGAAAAGAAGTCTGAAAGGGTGGGCGGTGGGGCTGTCCAAAGTGGAGCACGAAAGCTTTGGGGAACTGTAGTCACTTTCTCTGAGTTCTCCAGAGAGCCAGAGGGGGTAACACACTGCATGGGAATACACCACTCCTCCGGGCTTCCTCTCTGTAAACAAACATTAGGGACTGTGGGCATTAACTGCTGTGACCATACCAGAAACCCAGTAGGACCCCAGTGAGTGTTTGCTGCTCTTATTTTCACCTCCTACTTTCGAAGGAACCCTGGTCACACAGAGAGTAAGCACTGGAGGCTAACCAAAGAGGAGGGGGTTCAAACCCACCAGCATCTCAGCAAGAGAAGGTTGTGACACTGCACCTGTAAACACTGCTGCTGCTGTAAGGCGCCACTGAGTCAGTGTCAAGGAGTCAACCTTAGGTCAACATGCCTTTGCCGCCTTCCACTGCCCAGGGCAGCTCCAGGGAGACCTTCCGGACACTCCCAACTCCAAGGTGGATTCTTGCCCTGCCCTCAGTCACTACATCCGCTTCCCTCCCTCTCCTGGAAACCAGGGCAACAGACAGAAATCCCTCTGATGAAGGAACCCAAATGAAAGGAGCCCTGGTGGCTCTGAAGTTAAAGCACTTAGCTACTAAACAAAAGGTCAGTGGTTTGAATCTAGTAAGAGGGATGTGGCAGTCCTAGAAACCCTCTGGGGTTCTGTCCTATTCATAAGATCTCGATGAGTCTGAAGTAACTCCAGGGCTATGAGTTTGAGTTTAACAATGACGACCAGGCACAGTGACAGTTACTACGCATTTTGCGCCCGAGGGGCCAGATTCGCCACAGCTGTCACCTTATCTTGTAGGCCTAGATGTAACAGTACATCCTACATAGTCATCGTCGTACTACTTGGCAGAGGCCAAGGTCACACACACCGCCAGGTCTGTCTGGCCGGGCTGCTACGGGCTCCCTTTCGCTACTGCGCCCGAACGGGCCGCGTAGACCAGACTGCAGCGGGAGGCGCCGCGTCCTCCGAGCCTCCGCGGCCCTTCCCGGGCGGTGCACGTAGTGGTTCAACTCCGGCAGCTCCAGGAGCTGACGCCGCTGACCCGGTCCGCACTGACCTGTCATGGCGGCAACCGCTTTGTCTAGCTCGGCCGTTCGGGGAACGACTGTGCCTGCGCTTCTGTCGGCCGGGTCACCTGCGGCCGGGACGATCCTGCCCTGCGGGCGGAGGCGCCTTGCAAAACGCCCGCGCCCGCCGGCGTGGGTTAGCGCGCTGCCTGGGCTCCACGCCCAGCCAGCCCCAGAGAGGAGTCCGGATTCCGCCGGGACCCCGCCCTGGCGGCTGTGAAATCTGACCCTACGCGAGCCCGCCGCTGACGTTAGCCCCGCCCACGCCGGCGGGCCCCGCCCGGCCCTGGCCTGGAGGAGGGCTCCCGCCCTCGGAGGGACTGGCAAGTGCCCCTGGAGCGGTGTGACGCTGCGCCACACCGGGAGCCGTGCGCATGACAAAAAAGCAAGACAGGCGACACGGAGCAAGAATTTAATAAGCACTTTGCCTCAATCACGAAGCGACCCGCTCAAGAGCGGAGGAAGACATGGCCCCCTCCAGCTCCTTCACGGGATTTTATAGGGATTGAGTGGAGGGACCCTTATTGGCTCACCGCGGTCCCTGTCCTGCTTTCCCATTGGCCCTTATTCCTGTGTCCTGATTGGTCTCGTCCACAGCTTGTACACCCCATTATCATGTAGGGCGGTGTTCCGATGAGTCATGGGCCCGCCGGGGGAATGGATCACGTGCGGCAGCTTGAAATAAGCCTTTCAGAAGATGGCTGATCCCGACAATGACCGCACTTAGTGGCCCTAGGGTCGGTTTCCAAGAATGTAAATCTTTTATGAGAGGAAACCGCCGCCTCTTTCTCCTGGGCGGGACTAGTGGATTTGAATCATCCATATTTCCGTTAGCAGTCCAACGCTTACAGGGCAATGCCACCAGTGTGTCTCGAGGATGAACTCTCAGGGCCAGTGCCTAGTGCAGCATCTAAGCCCTTTGTCCCCCAGAGGAAGGAAATGCTGCTCGGAAGGCTTCTCACCGCCCTTCCAGGACAGGAGAGCGACTGGCTCAAAGATAGGACCTTGGCGGATCACTCCTCTCTTGGACTCCAGTCCCCTCTCCACTAAAGGGGACGCTATCCTGATGGCATGAATCTGACTAAGGAGGTCATTTAACTTATTGGAACCTAAGTTTCTCAGTCTGTAAAATGGGTGCCTTCAGCAAATCTCTTCCTCAGCTTAGCATATTTTTCTCTAACCCTACTGTCCTTCCCAGATCTGGTTCCCACCACAGCAAATGTCAGGCCCCAAATCACTCCTCAAATAGAAGCCATTACAGGGAAAAGAGAGTCTGGGTTTTGCACAGCCTGTAGTTGAAAGCATTTTCTTTTCACCTCTTTCCTTCTCTGCTTGCACCGGTTATTCCCCCATTAAAATCCAAACCCATTGTCCTGGTGTTGATTCTGAATATTGTGACCTTATAGGCAGAGGAGAAACGCCCCATAGGGTTTACAGAAGCGGATTGTAGCTTTGTTCTCTGGAGAGTGGCTGGTGGGTTCAGTTAGCAGCCAAGATCATTAACAGCCACCCTACCAGGACTCCTTTTAGCCCTCCACTAACACGTTCCAGTTTGAAAGTCTGGAGCTCACCCTGGAATGGGACCTGGAGCTCACTTTCCAAGGTCTCAACACAGGGATGCTGCATAAGGAATGCCATCCATGTAACCTCTTCTTCTGTTCTGTAAAGGGGACAGAGTCCTTCAAGCTTTGATTTGTGAGTATCCAGAAAATGGGTACAGATGTTACATGGAAACCATAAAGTGTCTTGGGCTTAATCATGGTGGTCACTAGTTAGGAGCTGTGTGCCTGCTCGAGACACTGGAGGTAAGCGAAGTACACGTTTCTTCACAAGAGCCTCACTATGCACAGCCTGGACCTGAGAGACAGTGCGCGTGGGAAAGAGACAAACACAGATCAGAGCCTGCCATTTGTGGGGGTGAGGGTAGGGGTGCCCAGGGCTGTGTGCAAAGCGCCTTTCAATTGATTGGTTGCCCAGAGCAGATCTCCTTGTGGAGGTGATTATGTTGTATTAGAGCGGATCATAGGCAACTACTTAACTGCCAAACAACTGGGACTCCTGGCACAAAACCTTACTTATCACAGAGCCTAACTAGATGAATGGGAGGCCTGGCTCTGTTGAAATACACAATAGCTTCTCAATCAAGGGAGTTGCTGTATCTGTGCCCAGTGGGAGCCACACTGACCTGGCCTGGTTCACAGCCAATACTCCTCTGATCTGCTGCTTTAAAGTCAGGATCCTAGAGGATGCATCGTCATGACAATCCTGTTTTAAAAACAAGGATGGGCACAAGCCACCAGGTGACCTAGCTCCCAGCCTCGAAGGCCTTGCATAGAACCCTCCCGTGCTCTTTAGCCACAGCACAGCAAGCCATCTGGGAAAGTGATGGGACACTTTGGCCTGGTCATAAGTGACTTGACATCCAAGGACTCAGTGGTTGCCCCTGACACCATTGTGGCAGTGCTTAATTTATATGCTTCCTTTATCTACAGGCTCCAACTTCCAAATACACCAGGCAGCCAGCCTTTGAAACCACCACCTTGACCTTAGCCCCCATCATATTTCATGGGAACTGTAGCAGTTCCTCCCTGCTGCCTTTCTTCCTCAGCACAGAACCTATTTCTTCAGCTAACTTGTCTCTGTACTTTGTGTGTGCTGTGCCCATTGTCTGGAGTATCCATCGCTGGACTCTTGCAGGCTGCAGTGAATTATTAATGTGGTTTTTCCAGCCAAAGTGTCTAACTCCCACCAAATGACCTTGTCCTCCAGGACTGGTAAGAAGGTGGGGGAAAATACTGATAGGATTCACGTGTGAGTAATTGTGAACAGGGTTTCCTGGAATGCCATACTATTGTATAGAAAATGAGCCCTGTGAGAGCAGGAGGCGGGATCTCATTACCAGCAACAGCCAGGAGCAGAGCGTGTACTCTGGACCCAAGATACCTGTGCAGTGAACCTCCTGGATCCAGAAGACAGCGATAGCATCAGAGCACCAGAATCAGGAGC